GACTCATCAGTTCATTTTAACTGTATTTTTCTCATATTAAAAGCCATATTTCTGGACAAAATGGGTTACAAAATAAACGACTGATTAAAACGCTATGCTTGTATTTTCAACCTGTAAATCAAAAGTTGTTTCATGAAAATGAGCTTGCTTACAAAATATTTTTAAACAGGATAAACTCTTTGTTTCTTACAACTATGGACAGAAAACTGCAGAAATTTTAAACTTCCCCCATAAACAATTTACTATGTAAACTGCCAACAAAACACCACTTCATGTCCCCTGAATTCACCCATATTTAGTCTCATTTTATGCTGCCAACCAACACATATCAGCTTATATATTTGCAGCTGAAGGAATGGCAGATGGCATAAACATAAATTTACCATTAAAAATGAAAACATTTTGTGTCAGTCTCTATCAGTTCTGTGGGGTTAATGACTAATCCCAAATTTACACTACGTCTGGCTCTGCTGCAAACTTCTCTGGCCTCCAGAGGTGGTGCTTCAAATAGCATGCACAGATTGTGCATATGTTATATTCTACAATGGGTTAGCACACTAATTGCAGAGAAGCTATAATTGTTGCTTAATTATGTTCATTTAATGTTTATGTTTTGATTTCCTATGTAGATATTCAGTGAAATAATGTGTGAAATTGCTCATAAAAATTGCATATAAAAAGTCTAAATATATAAATTATAGTGAGGTGTTTAAGTTAGTCCGTGTTTAGTGAATTGTTTTGAAAATCTTTATACTATGATTATTTTTCGTTTCCTGCTGTTGAGGTATGATTTATATAAATCTGCTTCGATCTGGCGTCCAACAAAGATAGAATGGAGTTAAATCTTGCCACAGGGCTGTTTGGTCGCAGGCACCCACCAACACTGACAGATGCCGTCTAAATACCCTAATTAAAAATAATGGCTGTTTTTTTTTTGACAACTTAGCAGCTGAGTGGAGCAGAGCCAGACACAGTGTAAATTGGTGTAAATGTTGTCCTGGTACCAGCTTCTTCCACCTGAGATGTTGATCTGTGTAGCTTTTCCAGAGTTGTAAAGCTTTTAATTGCTTTTTTAAACTATGCTCTGTTTGCCTGGCCTGTTGGTGTAGATCAGGGGTCTACAGCTCTAATCCTGCAGAGCACATATTTTGCAACTTTCAGATTGATCCCTTCTTGAAGTAGCCTAAGCTCATTTTCAGGCCCTCAGCAGAATTTGATGAGATACTGATGAGGAAAATCAGTCATTAAGGTGAATAGCTGTCATCCTTTTTTAAGTTTAGATGAGGCATCAAAGGGTGCTCCATTAAATGCTCAAAACTCAGCATATTGTTTTCTTACCAACCCTGTTCTAAATTTCTCCACATCTTTCTCCCTCATCTTTGTGTTCCGGCTCTTTATCTTCAAGATGCTCTTTGTTCTATAACAAACGTCTGATTCCTTCCCAGGATAGCTGCAGCTATGTTGGATTAAGTTATGCACAGGTGGAAACTGTTTACTCATTAGCTGACCTCTTTATTTTGTGGAGGGGAAGTAAAATAATGGGGGGGATGAATGAATTGGAACAAAGAAAACCTTTCTTATTACAAGTCTGATTGTGAAGCTTTCGCTTCCCCTAAAATCCCTTAGCAAAAAGCAGTATACTTTAAGTAAATTATATTAAGTATACTTAAGTATAAGTATACGTTTAGAAAGTATACTCGGGCTATGTACTTTTAGTGCACTTGAAGTATACTATTTTAATACTTCTTCGAACTAAATTGGGACATTTTTAAGTTTACAAAAGTATACTGATAGTATACTGTTCCAAGATCATTTTAAGTTTACAAAAGTATACTGATAGTATACTGTTCCAAGATCATTTTAAGTTTACAAAAGTATACTGATAGTATACTGTTCCAAGATCATTTTAAGTTTACTAAAGTATACAGATAGTATACTGTTCT